GCGGCTGTTGCTGCTACTGGGTCACACTTCCCATGACCCTTTCTGTTGGCTCCCCATACTTTCACGCCCTGGGTCTCACCTATTTCCCTTTTGTGAATATCCGAAGTTCTTCCATTGGTACTCATTCACCACTCCTCGAGTCACAAGCGATTTCTGTCACTATCTGGATCCCACAGAATTTTTTTTTAAATACTTGATATTGCCGCATCTATACAGGCCGAGAGTTCTGCCTGAGCTTTCCTCTTGTCATATTTCAGCTTTCTGTCCTTTTACTGTAGCTTAGGACGACTCCAAAATGGGGTCCTTACCCGTGCAGACGAGTTTTGACGTGGAAGACGTTCTTTCACAGCTGAACACGGCGGAGAAAGTCGCCCTGCTATCCGGCATTGATTTCTGGCACACTGCTCCTGTACATCGTCTGGGGGTCCCATCTATACGAGTCTCGGACGGCCCCAACGGTGTTCGTGGGACTCGATTCTTCAACGGCGTGCCCGCTGCGTGTCTTCCGTGTGGTAAGCCTCCGTGCTGGAAACCGACCGAGATGCCATTGACATGGTATAGGGACTGGACTTGCAGCAACGTGGGACACCAATCTCGTTAGGAAAGGCGGGGCGTTGCAGGGTGCTGAGGCTATCGCCAAAGGAGCCTCTGTTATCCTAGGACCGACGACGAACATGCAAAGATCGCCACTAGGTGGTCGCGGGTTTGAGAGTTTCAGCGAAGACCCATATCTCGCGGGTGCCATGAGTGCAGCAACCATCAACGGTATTCAATCGACTGGCGTCGCTGCGACAATCAAGCACTATGTCTGCAATGATCAAGAGGACCAACGACAAGCCGTTGACAGCATTTTAACGGAACGAGCACTACGAGAAATATACTTAATGCCCTTCATGATCGCCCAGAGAGACTCCAAACCAGATTGCTACATGACTGCGTACAACAAGGTCAATGGTACACATGCAAGCGAGAACCCACGATTGATCAAGGATGTTCTTCGTCGTGAATGGGGTTTTGACGGGCTAACAATGAGCGACTGGTAAGCCATGGCTGTGTATGAGGCGGGCCTTGCACTCTCTGACCGAAGCAGGTTCGGGACATACTCAACCACCGAAGCAATCAAAGCAGGACTTGACCTTGAAATGCCTGGTCCTTCCTACATCCGTGGACATTTAGTCAATCAAGCCCTCGGCTGTGGTAAGCTTACTGTGCATGACCTCGATGAAAGAGTTCGCGAGATCCTCAAGCTGGTTAAGAAGGTCCAGCCTCTTGGTATCCCAGAAAACGCACCGGAAACCACAGTTGACTCCCCTGAGACCTCTGCCCTTCTCCGCTCGCTGTCGTCCAACGGGATTGTCTTGATGAAAAACAACGACAACATCTTACCGTTCGCAAAACAGAAAACAACTGCCATCATTGGCCCAAATGCGGCTTATGCTGCCTACTGCGGTGGTGGTTCGGCTTCACTATTGCCATACTATGCTGTCAGCCCTCTTGATGGAATCCGGAAACAGGTGCCAGACGCGAAATATGCTCTTGGTGCACCCGGCTGGAAAGCACTTCCGCTCATGACGCGGTTGACCAAGACCAAGCAGAATGAAAACGGGTTGACCATGAGAGTCTTCTTGGAACCCCCATCTGTGACAAACAGGAGGGCCGTTGATGAAATTTTTGTGAACAAGTCGGACATCCTTCTGGTCGATTACAAACACCCCCTGATCAAGTCATCTCTCTATTGGCTCGAATTGGACGGCATCTTTACTCCCGAGGAGACGACTGATTATGACTTTAGTTTGTGCTGCGCGGGGACGGGCAAAGTCTTCGTGAATGGAGAGTGTGTTGTCGACAATGAGACCCATCAACGCCCGGGCAACTCTTTCTTTGGCGCTGGCACCGCAGAGGAGATCGGAACGCTGAAGCTCGAAAAGGGAGCAACCTACGACATCAAAGTGACCTTCGGCACGCTTCCAACCATGACATTTAGCAGTCCCGGTACGACTGGCTTTGGTGCGGGAGGACTCAGGGTCGGACTCGAGCGCAAAGCCGAGATTGAGACGGAGATCGAAAGAGCTGTTCGGCTCGCAAGAGAGGTCGACCAAGTTATTCTGTGCGCAGGGCTGAACAGTGAGTGGGAATCGGAAGGCTATGACCGCGAACACATGGACCTACCGCCGGGCAGTGATGATCTGATTAAGGCCGTTCTTACGGTTAATCCCAACACAGCCATCGTCATCCAATCCGGAACGCCCGTCACAATGCCTTGGCTCAAGGATGCTCCCGCCGTACTTCAAGCTTGGTACGGTGGTAACGAAACAGGCAATGCTATTGCAGACGTCATCTTCGCAAACACCAACCCCAGCGGCAAGTTGCCCCTGAGTTTCCCCGTCAAGAACGAAGACAACCCCGCTTTTCTGAACTACAAATCTGAGCGCAACCGAGCCATCTACGGTGAAGACGTCTATGTCGGGTATCGGTTCTACGAAAAGACGAAGAAGGAAGTCGCCTTCCCCTTCGGCCATGGTCTCAGTTACACGACCTTCGAAGTCAAAGATGTCTTTGTCAGCGACGATGATGTCGACGTCGTGGTGTCTGCCACAGTATCAAACACCGGCAAGTTTGACGGTGCGCAGGTCGTCCAAGTCTACGTCACGCAGCAGAACCCAAGCATCAATAGACCTCACAAGGAATTGAAAGGGTTCACAAAGGTCTTTGTGAAAGCTGGTCAGAGCGAGAAGGCCGAGATTGTGATTTCAAAGAAATACGCCACAAGTTTCTGGGACGAGGCAAGGGATGCGTGGGTGATGGAAAAAGATGTATTTGATGTGCTGGTGGGCGACTCTAGCGCCAATACGCCGCACAAGGCCCAGATTCGAGTGAAGCAGACGGTCTGGTGGAGGGGGTTGTAGAAGGCACAATTGTGTCGACAACATTTCGGGATATGCATTACTTAGTTAGATGTCCCCTTGGGTTGGCCTGGTGCTCGCTTTTCGACGATAGCCATTTGCTCGGCTCTTTCCAATTGGGCATCATCGTTGTCCCAGGGCGGACGATATTGACCAAGCCTCTGAGTGGCGGAAACGGTCCAACACCTTGTGTTGTGTATGACATGGTGAATCATGACCACGTAGAAGAATATGCCATGGAGATATGGAAAACATAAGTTCAACGGCTTAATGGGTCAATGCTCAGGAGGAAATGTCTTTGATCCTTTGCGGAACTGTGTCAGTCAGTATGCCAGCCAGCCAGCCTCGTCCAGACCGAGTTTGCGTTCGAACATGCCAACAGTTGTCTCACTACTGGGTAGTCGTGGGAGCCAAAGCGTCTGACGCCTTGGTGCGGGCTGTGCACAATTTTAAGAGTGAACAACAACATCATTTTCAATTGGTCAAATCCGATGTCACTACTGTACTTCAAGAATCCCCCGTTGGCCATACGTCGCACGAAGAACACAATTAGGTGACTGTCAAATGGCAGCCTCTGGGACAGTCATCTCATTGATTTCTTTGCCTCCCCAGCCGTCAGCCTCATTACTAACTCCGTCTTAGGCTTCCGCTCTTGTCACTTCTTCCTCCGACGGTCTAAATCCTGTCCCTGGAAGAGGATTTGGAGGACGTGGTAGCTGTCCTCATTACTCGTCATCTCTTGCGGGCCGAACTAGTGTTTCTACTCAAAGGATATGGCACGCCTAGACGAGGTTCAAATTCTGTCTGAAGATGATTTTCAATTTATGCATTGCAATTTTGGGTCTCATCGCCGCCTGAACGGCTTTGGAACTATCTTCATGGACGTGTGCTAAAGACTGGAAGGAATATTGTGCTAGTTAAAATGTAAGGCCAAATAAGATATGCTTACCTAGTCATAACTAACTCTAGCCTTTAAAGGAAACACACATCATTGTATCGAAAAGCTGTCAGGATACGCTTGACAAAGAACTCTCTCCGCCTCCTCGACTACCCCGGGGCTGGCTGAAGAACCATCAATCGAGAAGAACATTGTTCGCCCGTGACCTTTCCGGTGCTGGGCTATCAGACCCCAGCACCAAGCTTACTCATACAGTCATCCTTGTGCTCACCCTATTTGGATTTTTGGGGGCTCTTAATGTGATTCGTTTATTTCGCACCAACGCGATCCTACGGCAACGGTCCACCACTTCTCAAGCAGTTCGGTGGCTCGACGAGCAAAGGGTGGTACAGGATTCGACGACCACCGAGATCTCTTCCTGGGTGCTCCTCTCTGCTGCACGAATACAACCTCGATCTGTGTACAACCTTGAATCGGGAAACGATCTTAGACATCGGCGTACTTGGGTGCAAAGAGCGGTCACCGAAATATCTGTTGATCCTGACTGGCAAAGGGCAAATACTTCATGTCTCAGGACGGAAGATATGAAGAGCCCGGACAGCTTTAGCTTTCGGGTGCATGGATCTCAAACTCCCGCGACTCCCTAATCTAAGGTCTTCGGATCCGTCCTCGGATAGCAACATTGAAACTACATATAAAATCTCAAATCCTACATTTAGAAGACCAGAGACATTTGTGTCTCCAAAATTTGAAGAGCGTCGCCGTCCTTTGACGTATGCAACGGCGTCCGCAGTTCAAAGAGAGGAGATATACATTGCCATTCGATCAGAAATCGATGATACAAAATCACTGCCGAGCGGTGCTTAAAAACGGCGCAGGGCGGGCGAGTGTCGAGGTGCGCTCGGTGTCGAGTTGCCTTCTCTTTACCTGCCAAGAAAATGACAACCCATCACCTCGTCATTTGACTAAGTTCTTATTAGCTCTTGACTTGTCCTTAACTTCTCACACAGGGAACCTCTTCGAGTCCTGCGACGTTTCGGATCCAAAGCAGATCTTTGACCCCTTTCTCCATGGGCCACACTGCTGCAGTAGCGACTTTTGCCCGTCCTGAAACCTACATCTGTGAGGCGCCGTGACCTATGAATACGGCCTCGCGATCAAATCTTGCTTCGAATGGCGATCTGCCACTCGCTGCGTCGATGCCGTTCATGTATGCATTTGGCTCCAACGGTTCAGGACAGTTGGGGATCGGCCATACTGAAGACGTCTCACGGCCTGAGAGATGCCTCTTCCGAACCCACGAACGGGGGGAGAATTCCGACCATGGTCTAACTTTTGACGGGAGAAATCCCTTGGAAGGGAGCGCTCCAGCACAAGTATGTGATGTCAAGAAGATTGTCGCAGGAGGGAACCATACCCTCCTCCTCACGACCGATGGGCGGTTGTTCATTGCTGGAAACACGGGCATGGCGCGCGTCGTCGCAGAGAACGTCAAGTCTGACCGCAGTGTGGTATTCGAAGAGATCACCGATCAGTTTTCCACGTTGGGAATCTCAAGAAGGAATACTGGACCACGCAATGTGGTAACTGATATTGCGGCGACTTGGGGCGCTTCCTTCGCAGTCGTAGATGGCAAGGCCATCGTCGGGTGGGGGGTTGGTACTAAAGGCGAGCTCGGCTTAGGTCCTGGTGTGACCTCTACGAATGGGCAGGTGATGAAACTATTTGAAGCTGATTTAGTTTCAAGTCATGGCGAAGCTGTCGAAATTCTGAATATTGAGGGAGGTGTGGCCCATGTTGTTGTCCTACTTTCGCATGGGCGGGTCTACGGTTGGGGAAGTTGTCGGAAAGGCCAGCTTGGAGAACGGCTAAAGGCAGAGAAAATTGTGTGGACCCCTCGGAGTCTTGGTCCAGGAGTCGATGAAGAGGATCTAATGCCTTGGATGCCGGAGAGAGTGACGCTCGGTAGGGAGTATACCGTTTTCGTCAAGACGGGGAGGCGGCCGGTAGTCTGGGGGGACACCAAGTTCTTTGACCAAAAAGATCTTAAATGGACGGTGGAAGAAGAAGATACGGTTGCTTCCGGTTGGAGTTCAATTCACATCCTCTCGCGTCGACTGTTAGACCCGTCGCTGCAGGGTGCAGGCAGAAATGACCACGGCCAACTTCCTCCAGCTGGCCTTGCGCTCGTCCAGACTCTGGCGGCGGGAAGTGAGCACTGTATCGCCCTCAGCGAGGACAACGAAGTCATCGCTTGGGGATGGGGCGAACACGGGAACTGCGGCGAGGAGCTGGATCCAAGTGGGGACGTGATCGGTCGATACAACGTGATTCCCTTGCCAAAACTCGACGAAGATATTTTCGCTAGGAACGTGGCGGCTGGGTGTGCCACGAGCTTCGTAATTTGTGGGAAAAAAGATGGGTGAGACTCAACAGGCGCCTTGGTCAGTCAAAAATCCCTTTCACCTGCGAAAGTCGCTGCGTTGGAGCGATCTCCGTCGGAAATCGTGACTCCGTCGGGGGTGTCGTCCGATGGTGCTGCTCCTGCTCCGCCATCGAGGCGAAAGAATGCAGTTCTGAGTCGCGAATCCGGCGCGTCGAGTTCGGTGCCGATGCAGCGTTGTCCGCGGTGTGATCCCACGTCACAATATCGGCCTCTTCTTCAAAATTGGGTTCGTCCCACTGGTGATCGTCGTCATCGGCGGGAATGAAGAGGCTGTGTGGATCGATATTTATAGAGGGCGTGGGTACGGCAGCAAGAGGCGGAGCAGAGTTTTCTGAATCTGCTTTAGCAAATGCTGATTGTGTAGGTTGGTCTCGAGCGTGCAAGGAACCGCATGCTGGAGGTGGCATGCAGGCATCCGAACTCGTTGCAGGTCGAGGATTCATAGCCGAGGTTCGTGAAGGCAGGGCTGGTGTTTCAGGAGGTCGCGATGTAGGACGCATGGAGAGATCTCGGGCTGGCGTTGCCGCGGTTGGCGCACCGCTTGGGACATTTGCTGAGCCTCTGGTCATCAGAGTGAAGTCAGCTTGGAGTCCATTTTCTCCATAGTTGATCTGCATGGGTCGATTTCCTCGTGAGTATCTCGCGGTCACTTGAGTATGCATGGTCTCCGCGTGTGCAACGATCGCGCGGAAGTCTTTGACCACAGTGCCGATATGTAACCCTTCTTGAACATTGAAGTCACTGAAGTCTTTTCGCTCGAGAGCCACAGAGGTGTGCATGGGTTGCTTAAGGATTTCTGGGCGAATGTTAATAAGCAGCAACGAGTCATCGATGGGGCATACCTCTTCCAGCTTGGATCTTCTCTGTGTAACTTGTGAAAGTTACTTTTCCATTCTGAAAATACCAATCCAGCTGATCAGTCTTGGGGCCGAAATACTCTACTATATCTCGCAGTGTTCGCGATGATATGGACCAGTAGTTGGGCGATCCGATTTTGTCAAAAGCCGCGTGCAGAATTTCCCCGGCCTCGTAGAACAGGCGATACGTCTTGACAACTCCCTGCCGGCAATTCAAACGGAATACCAATCGACATTCGGGCTGATCCGCATTGGCCTGTAGCTCGCAGTCGCAACTTTCGAGGGCGGTGTCCTTGTCCCGTTGGTCGCCCAGGCGACGCTTGAAAATGGACAGGAGGGCCTGGATTGTTAAGAGTTTCGTCCAGAAGAACAGGACAAAGGCTTACCCGGATTTGGAGCTTGCATGACCATTGCTTTGGCAGAGCAGGGCCGGACGCCGTCCGCGGTCCAGGAGAGAAGTGATACTTGCTGAAAAAAGGTGAACCGAGTGTAAATGCAGCATGGGCAGTTTTGGAAATATTCAGACTTGAGAGCCGAAGCTTTTACGGCATGCGTTGGTTAGGTCTCGTTTGTCTGCGCAGAGAGGAGCCTTACAAATTGAGGTGTCGCCTCGAGAGACACATCCTCGTCGAACTTTGCCAGGCAGGTGAGAAGATCATGAAAGGACGCAGCTCCCGAAGGAGCCACAGTAAACAGGAGAGTTGGCATGGGTGTTGGGTATTGGGGGTTGGATGCAGCTGGCCGATCGAGATGTGAAGCAACAAAAGAGGTAGGTATCTACCAGGTGCCTATCCAGCTATGGAGTAGGTACGGACAAGTACGGAGTAATAATATGGAGACGCGGGTCGACGCGTCGAGGCACATCAAAGGCGTGATGTCATTTCAACCTCGACTCCGACTCTCAAGTGCTTCTAATGCGATTTTCAGATATCAATTGTGGATCACTCCGTATTTGCCATCGCATCCCCTCTATCAAGCATACATCCAAGGTAGCTTGGAGCTTGCTGTCTTTCGCTTGTAGACCACCTCGTCTGCGTCCTCTTATCGGACCCCTTCCCTTTTGGATATCCATATCGCCTGTGCTGCCTACCGGGCTCTGAGGACTCGACCATGTCTGCGTATCAGGGCGCTATCCTCCCAGATGAAATCCTGTCCTTGATATGTGAGGAACTGGGACACGAGAGAGATTTTGGCTCGCTTTACACATGCGCACTTAGTTCAAAGTCTTTCGCCGACCCCGCGCTGCGGACCATGTACCAGTGAGTGGGCGAAGTGTCAGCCTTCAGACCGTGGTTTGTTGACTGACTTGCCACAGACTACATCAGTATTCTCCGGCATTCGAGCAGAGAGATGACTTGGAAGTCCGACAACAGCCAGTGGACTTCGTAACCAAGGCCACCGAACAGGCTCAGTCGTACCGGAAATGGACTGTGTTATGGCGCTCCATCACTTTGTCGAGTCTCGGTGATCGTGTTACTTACAAGCCCTACTGTCGCTACATCAAAACCCTGGATTTCCGCAACTTGTCACTTATGTTGGAAGACCCTAAATTCACAGGGCCTGTTCGAAAGCAGTTCTTTGCCGGGAGACTCCAGTCCTTCCATTTTTCGAAGACCGAATATAAGAGGCAGGTGGTAGACGTCGTTGCTACTGTTAATGCAATTGGCGACGCCGTGACCGAGAAGTCGACACTGTTAGAAGAGATTGATGGCCATATTAGCCCAGGCTTCTTACCAAGGTGGATATCTCGCTCTCCAAAGCTGGAGACTATGGTACTTTGGAAAGGCGACGCCCTGGTCAACGGCGCCGGAGCCGCAATTGCCGAGCATTGTGACAATTTTCGCAATCTAACTCTTCATGAATGGATGTCTCCGGACGCAGACGAAGCGTTTGCCACGTTCTTGAACGAGCTCAAACCAGATACGCTGAGTTACTTTGAGATGATCAGCAACAATAATCTTGGAAAGCAATCCTTTCGAGCCCTCGGCCGGCACAGAACACTGCAACAATTGGACTTGGGGAGTCTGAACCAGGATGCCGTGCGGAACCTGAATGCGCTCAAGGACTGCACAGAAATTCATACACTGAAGCTTGGTGACAACTACGGAAGCGTCCAGCTCGAGGTTCGAAACAATGAAGTATTTCTGGAAGTCGTCGAATGGTTAAGCTCTTGCAATACCCTCCGCGATCTCAGTTTGAAGAAATTCGTTGATGGTCCCGCTTTACTCTCCAGAGTATTGTGTTCCCCGGATGTGAGGCTGACCCGGCTATCCCTCGAAGGCTACACCGTTCGCCATACCAATTCCCAGTTATTCCATAGTGCATTGGCCGAGCAGAGAACCCTCGAATCGGTCTGGCTTAAGGGGAATGGTGAAGATACGATGCCTGACGACCTGCAATTCATGGTTGAGGGTTTGTGCAGCTTGACAAATCTAAGAGAGCTTGTCTTGAAAGACGTCTCCGATGAGTTCACCGAAGAGCACATCATCTCCCTCGCTGTGAGCCTGCCACTGCTTGAAGAATTTTGGACGAGTGGAGGCGAAGTGTCGGCCGACATCCTTCAGCCTCTTGCAAACCTCAGGTACTTGAAGAACCTCACGTTGTACGCTATGACAAGGTTCCACTTGGGTGCGATCATGGAATTCTTGATGAGCCTTGATCCTGAGAAGCAAAAGGGGTTCAATCTATCGTTGATGGCCGTCGATCCCGACTATGATTTGTCAGAGGAGACTCAAGAGATGATTCGCGAGTACATGCGAGCAAACCTCGATGGCCGGTTTGATTTTGTCCTGTGGCGTGAGGCTGACCCCAGTGACAGCGAGGAGGATTAGGTGGAATTGGGCTCTGTGAGACAACCAGTCTATGCGAATCCTGGCACACCTCTGAAATGGCACGACTTTCCAGACTTTGGTTGGACGAATGCGTGCGACGGGTTTGGGCGGGGCATAGAACAGCGCGATAGTGCGCTGAAGCGATTCACGAAGCTCTAGCTATGGGATTTCTATGGCTGGACACGATAGGAGATGCCTGGTGACCCAGTAACACAAACAACCGCTTGTGGCAATGGTGGCTGTCCGCTTCAGAGGACCTGCCTACTTTTCTGAGGCTTGGCTTGGCTTGGCCTCTCGGTGGACGGCGCCTCCTCGCCCAAAGCTCCTTCCAGAACCTGGCAGAAGCGGAAGACATCAGCGAAGGAGTTGTACAAGGGTGCCGGAGCAACTCTGATGACATCTGGTTTCCTCTCATCGACAATGACGCCTTCACATTCCAAATGCTCCAGGACCGCATCAAGCAAACCAGGCGCCAACCGAATGCTTAGCTGGGCGCCTCTTTCTTGAGGATTTCTAGCAGTGATGATGTCGAATTTCCGCGGTTTTCTCAACGCGATGGCGTCCAAGAGTTGCTCCAAGTAGTTGGTTAAGCGCAAAGATTTCTCCCGCAGCTCCTTCATCGATGTTTCGTTGAATATTTGCAACGAGGCAATGACTGCAGCAAGATCGAGCCCGCTTGGATTCGACAGCTGGTAACCCGCGGCACCAGGTCGAGGGACAAATTCTTCCCAGGTCAAATCAGCCGAGGACTACGACGCACCACGAATCAAGACTTACTGTTCGTCATCTGGAATCTGCTGGATTTATCGTCTCCCCACCAGCCAGTCAAACGTGGCCAGAACTTGTGTGTCGGGCTTTCCATATCAACTTTGCCGAACTTCTCATTGATAAAGATGCCGGCCATTGCTCCCGGACCAGAGTTGAGATATTTATAGCTGCACCAAGCGGCGAAGTCGACATTCCAATCATGCAGCTTGAGGTCAACATTGCCGGCGGCATGAGCCAGGTCCCAGCCTATCAATATGCCGTGCGAGTGAGCATGGGCAGTGATACGAGGGATGTCGAAATATTGACCGGTGTAGAATTGGATACCTGGTAGGAGGATCAAGGCGAGCTCCGAGGCGTGCTTGTCGATGGTTTGAAGGATTTGTTCGGTGGACAAAATGGGAAATTTGGCATCGACGGGTTCCAACAAAACCATTGCTTCTGCAGGATCCAGATCGTGGTGTATGATTTGCGATTCGACTGCATACTGGTTGTGCTGTCAACAGCTCTCCTCCAAGCGTCCAACG